CTCGTCCATTTATTTCACATGTTCAACACATTATTCACATTTATTTCACTCGCGACATTTTCGAACATTAAACATTTGTGCAACATAAAGACGACATCTTCAAATACTACAACCGTCTTCTCTGACTTCTGATGATCGACTGACCACGAGGCTAGCTCGGGCTTTCCCTCGCTTCCTCGACTAGGCACAAGTATCTCGTGCTGTCCCTTGTTGCACGGACTTTCTGCTTGCCACTATGTAATCGTGAAGACCATGCACAGCACCTCATCACATACTCCCCCCCTTTTTAACAAAATGATACTTTATGGAACATCAAGTATCATTTTCCCTTTTACTGATAGATGACTCAATAGAACATAAATCTAACCTCAATTACTGCCCTTGGTTTCAAAATTTTTTTCTGTATGCTTTTTTAAAGTACTGATCTGGTGATAGGTATCTCATCTTTACACCTATTGCATCTGTAGTATAGCTTCGTCACTATATCTATTCTATGATGTTCGAGTGAAATAATGATCATTGTGATGATGGTGATGTTAATGGTCAGCTTTGAGATATTTACTAGAGGGATAATAAATCAATTTAAATGTATTACTCTTAGGAATTATAGTTCCTGATTATCCTTAATTACTGCCCTTTAAAACTGCTTTTAGTATTTACTGCATGCTTTCCCTGTACTGAGCTGGTGAAGAGTTTAAACCATCTTTACACCTATTGCATCTGTAGAATTGTCTAGTCACTATATCTACTCTATCAGGTTCAAAGTGAAATGATAGTGATGATGATCAGCTTTGAGATATTTACTACATAGAAAATTGGATTGAACCAATATTTCTACATCACCTTTTACAGGGTGTTAAACCCCAAGGACTCTTAGCCGATATGATAGTGATAAGATGATGGTCAGCTTTGAGATATTTATTACGTAGAAAATTGGATTTAACCAATGTTTCTACCTCACCTTTCACAGGGTGTTAAACCCCAAGGACTCTTAGCCGATATGATAGTGGTAAGATATATTTAACATAGTGCTTCTAGTTTCCCAAAAGCTCTATAACACCTTTTACAGGGTAATTACCCAACCCCAAGGAATCTACCACAGAAAAAAAAATGCATGTTGAGATATTTTTTTCATAGACCAAAGTCTCACCTTTCACAGAGTAATTACCCAACTCCAAGGAATCTAACATGAAAACAATGATAGCTGAGATATATTTTTCATAGATCTTAAAGTTTCCTCCAGGTCTATAACCACCTTTAACAGAGTATTCAACTCCAAGGAATCTCCGATGAAATGAATATTGGGATGATTTTTAATAGAGTTTAGGGTTTCCCCACCAGTCTCTACATCACCTTTAACAGAGTATTCAACTCCAAGGAATCCCACAACCTTTTCCCCCTTTAAATGGATACAGATGAGTTCAACTCCTCTACTGTGCTTGTGCTTTGATGTGTGCATTTTTTCTTTACCATCAGTATGTCTATTCAGCATCAGTATAACTATAGATGGTTCCTAATCTTGGATGTGGTGGACAACTTTAGCATGTCCCTGTGCTGTGTACCTATGCCAAAACATTTCAAATTGAATTTATGTAAATCATTCTGTGGAAAAAGATTTCTATATGATCTATTGCTAAATCTTTAATTCGGTTGTGCTGTTCCTGGGGAGAGAGAATTTTTTTTTTTTTTTTTTTTTTTTTTTTTTTTTTTAAACTTTTGAACTATTAACTCTGTTATTACATGAATACTAAACTATTCCTAATGAACTACTAACTCTGTCATTACATGAATACTAAACTATTCCTAATGAACTACTAACCTAAGTTAAATGCATGTACACTATTAAAATACTACCCACAAATCTTTCATTCATCATTCATTCCTGTTTTATTCTCTTTCATTCCCATTCATTCCAATAACTATCCTTGATCTTGATCCATCTCTGCAGGCTGTGTGTGTCTTGCTTGTACTCTGGCGCTTGCTTTCAAGGTTGTCATTCCTTGGTTTGCTCAACTGTCTGTTCTGCTCTGGGGTCTTTCATAGTAAGACAACTGGTAATCTTGCAAATATACTAACTAAAAATATTATAATTTTATAAGTTAACACAATACTATTATCATTGTTCAGTGACTGTATACACTAATATGCCACCTTTAAAAAATAATAATTAAACGGAAGGTGTTTAATACACACAGTTTGTGGCTGATTTTTTATAAATGACATCAGGTGTCTATGCACTTTTGTAAAATACTTTATCATTAATTTAATATTTACACAAACACTTTAGGTATGTAAGATGATCTACCTTTCACAGTAGCTATCACAATTGTGTAAACACGATGTAATACTGACGTTTTTGTTGTTCTTGAATGAGCTTAAACAGTCGGAATGCTTCATTATTCTCGCATTCTTTATTTTATGATACGTTTGGTATTCGATGATCTTGATATTGTATAGATGCTCTTGAAGTGTCGCTTAGAATTTGATGATTTGAAATGTTTCAATGTTGATTTTGAGGTATTTGGAGAAAATAATTTCGTGTTCCTTGATGGTGATCTAGAAATTTGGATAATTCAGTGGCTGATATGTTTCTGTTCATTCCCTGTACAGTACTGGTTGGTGATTTCTGCTTTTGATTGAAATAAGACAATCTTGAAGGTGGATAATGTTAAAATATCAATTCTTGATGATTGTTCAGGTTTACTCTTGATTGTTTGGTTGAAGGTGGTACTATGTAGCTTCTTGACTGATAATAATCTTGACTATGAAGACTGCTAAAATGTCAATTCTTGATGTTGATGTTCAGGAGGATGGACTGTAAGGTTTCAAGTTAGTAAATAGTGATACTTAAATTGATGGTGCTTTTCCTTATTTCAGCTGTTCTTATTTTTGTTGATGGATTTGTATGTATTAGGACACCACTTTCTTTTAATAATATGGATGTTGACGGAAATGCATTTGTTCCCAGAATTGTATATCTTCTTCAGAACAGTCATTGATTCCTCTTAGATCTCCCAGAATCAAATCTGTCGAAAATGTCTTTCATTACTAAGACTTTCATTGGCTTGGTCATCCATGGTGATTTTAAATATATATATGCTGTTGGTAGCTGTACTAGTCTTCCATCATTGTAATAATATACAAGTTCTCCACTATAATCTGATGGTTTTAGCATTCTATCTGATACTATATTTAAGTTTATCTCTCTATTTAGTTGCATTTGACCTGGTTTGTTATTAATAAGACATTTAGTTGTTCTACTTCGATTTTTCCGGCTTAGTGCCTTCTTCATCCTATCCGCAGGTATTCCTCTATCATTATCAAAATATTGGAACTCTTTATCTACAGTTTTTCTGTCTATTGTTTCACAGTCATCCTGTTTCATACATTGAGTTGCTTTTGTCTCGACTGATGTTATTGTTGGCACATTGATATCCTTCGCTTGATTAATTTTCATTGTTTCTGAGTTTGACTTTTTCTCTGTTTCAGTGTTTCGACTTTCTTGCTTGTATTACTATTCTTGCTGGATTCCAGCTCTGCAATCACAATTTCGTTCTTTATCTTTTTAGTTCCTGGACATTTCAATTGGCTTTTTCCTATCCAAATTGTATGTGGCTCTGTTGTTTTTCCTTGATTCTTTCTACCGTAGCACAGTGAACAATCTAGAGTTGGAATATCTTCCGAATCCATTCTTTCTGAATTAGTTTTTGCAAAGAAGGATCTTTTTTTGTCTTTTAACATCTGTTTCCCAACACAGTATTTTACAATATGTCCGAATGCATTACAGAAGTGGCACTTTTTAAGGTTATTCTTTTGTTTATTTTGCCACTTTTTTATTTACCAAGTCTTCAATATAATTTGAATATTTAGGATCTCTGTCGCAGATAGTTGAAGAACTGTGCTGGTACTTACAAAAAATGCACATCTTGATCTTCTGGTTACTTATCGATGTATCTTTCATTGTTGTCGCTGAAGATACTTGCGACATAGTGTTTCTTACTTTTATCAACCGTTTAGATGCCATTCTGATAAACGCACATTGATGTTAAAATGTCACTGTGGTTATAAAGCTTAAGGTAACTTTTGTTCCCAAACGTAGTTCATAGTTTGCTGGTTTCCGCGAAACAATAGTCGTCACAAATCTGATTTAATTCACAAACTTGATTTATAATATTTACGATATGTACCTTTGGTAAACATGAAACTTCCTGAATCCGCAAAACTTGGTGATACGGTGTGTGGCAGGGCGTAGATGGCACACCGGTTTTCATTGGTCGGTAGCTGACCTGTCGGCGCTTGCTGTGTTAATTATAGGCTCTGCTCGCGTGAAGTACACTGTTTTCCGCATGTTTATCTTACCTTGGAAGAAACAAAAATGTTTTCCTATGGGCTCTTGAACTGAAGTCAATGGGCAGCAGGATGTCACCGACACTGGGCTCTTGAACTGAAGTCAATGGGCAGCAGGATGTCACCGACACTGGGCTCTTGAACTGAAGTCAATGGGCAGCAGGATGTCACCGACACTGTGCTCTTGAACTGAAGTCAATGGGCAGCAGGATTTCACCGACACTGTGCTCTTGAACTGAAGTCAGTGCGCAGCAGGATGTCACCGACACTGTGCTCTTGAACTGAAGTCAATGGGCAGCAGGATGTCACCGACACTGGGCTCTTGAACTGAAGTCAATGGGCAGCAGGATGTCACCGACACTGGGCTCTTGAACTGAAGTCATGGGCAGCAGGATGTCACCGACACTGTGCTCTTGAACTGAAGTCAATGGGCAGCAGGATGTCACCGACACTGGGCTCTTGAACTGAAGTCAATGGGCAGCAGGATGTCACCGACACTGTGCTCTTGAACTGAAGTCAATGGGCAGCAGGATGTCACCGACACTGGGCTCTTGAACTGAAGTCAATGGGCAGCAGGATGTCACCGACACTGGGCTCTTGAACTGAAGTCAATGGGCAGCAGGATGTCACCGACACGGGGCTCTTGAACTGAAGTCAATGGGCAGCAGGATGTCACCGACACTGGGCTCTTGAACTGAAGTCAATGGGCAGCAGGATGTCACCGACACTGGGCTCTTGAACTGAAGTCAATGGGCAGCAGGATGTCACCGACACTGGGCTCTTGAACTGAAGTCAATGGGCAGCAGGATGTCACCGACACTGGGCTCTTGAACTGAAGTCAATGGGCAGCAGGATGTCACCGACACTGTGCTCTTGAACTGAAGTCAATGGGCAGCAGGATTTCACCGACACTGTGCTCTTGAACTGAAGTCAGTGCGCAGCAGGATGTCACCGACACTGTGCTCTTGAAATGAAGTCAATGGGCAGCAGGATTTCACCGACACTGTGCTCTTGAACTGAAGTCAATGGGCAGCAGGATGTCACCGACACTGTGCTCTTGAACTGAAGTCAATGGGCAGCAGGATGTCACCGACACTGGGCTCTTGAACTGAAGTCAGTGCCCAGCAGGATGTCACCGACACTGTGCTCTTGAACTGCTTTTAGTGTGCAATTGTTTCTACATCCATCTTGTCATTACAGGCACAGATGTTCACAACAGTGAGCTGCTTGCTGCCTTGCATCTACACAGCATGCATCGGGTATCTCTACACAGCATGCATCGGGTATCTCTTCACAGCATGCATTAGGTATCTCTTCACAGCATGCATCGGGTATCTCTTCACAGCATGCATCGGGTATCTCTTCACAGCATGCAGCGGATATCTCTACACAGCATGCATCGGGTATCTCTACACAGCATGCATCAGGTATCTCTTCACAGCATGCATCGGGTATCTCTACACAGCATGCATCGGGTATCTCTACACAGCATGCATCGGTTATCTCTACACAGCATGCATGGGGTATCTCTTCACAGCATGCATCGGGTATCATGCCATCATTCCAAGTTAAAGTTAGTTGCGTACCCTTTTAAAAATGTTGCAGAACCAACGGCAGCATTGCTTGCTTGCGTACGTGCGTGCGTGCGTGCGTGCGTGCCTATGTGCCTATGTGCCTATGTGCCTATGTACGTATGTAAGTATGTACGTATGTACGTATGTACGTATGTACGTATGTACGTACGTACGTATGTATGTATGTATGTATGTATGCATGTATGTATGTATGTATGTATGCATGCATGCATGCATGCATGCATGTATGCATGCATGCATGTATGTATGTATGTATGTATGTATGTATGTATGTGCGTGCGTGCGCGTGTGCGTATGTGTGTATGTGTGGCTGTTATAGTTTTTCTAAGCAAAATTTCTACGTTCAGTAGTTTGCCATTGCCCACTGCAGGGTCAGCTCTCGGTACCTCTGTCAAAACCAATGCAAGACAAACCCTTCGCATCTGGGATCGATCACTGTACCCAGGCATTACGAAGCACGTTCACAATGCCTTAGCCACAAATGCCGACTCCAAGTGCTTATGTCCACTTTTTTGGCATGATGGTTATTCCTGATCAGGATCTCTTGGCCTAAATGTGTTTGATTATAGAAGTCATGAGACCGTTGGTGCTTCAGGGTGCTCTTATCCCTTAATCTGTCTCCTGTGATTGCACTAAATCAGCACCCCATATCAATTTGTCAAACATCGGGTCTCTTTTATAAACGCTTCTATAGTTCCAATAAATCACCTGTGTGCATTTTTTGATAGCTTTTCGATTTTTCATTGCCTTATCCTTACATTGGTACATCTTTTTCTTTCTCTTCTTCCCTTTCTTCTTCTTCTTGCTTTCCTTTCTGCTGTATCAATCTGAGCTCAGCAGCGCATCTCTCAGTGCTCCAAAGGGGATTCGGTTTGAATAAAGTGTTGCCAATATTCCTTGAGAATAATGCAGGTCTTAGAACCTACATGCTGGGACAGAGGATCAGAACTGCTACAAGACGTTGTTACGCTTGATGCTGCCCCCCCCCCCTTTTTTTTTTTCCCACACACACAGACACACACACACCAGACGTTCCAAGTTAGCGACCACTGACCCTTGGCCATTCACTTCCATATGGTGCTACTTTGAAGTTGGGGAATATATTTATGTTTTTGGTGATTATGTAGTTACTTGATTATAATCTCGTTTGCATCAATGATATACAACGTCCTTCACTAATACATTCTGTGCATAGAGAACTTGTTACAACTCCATCAATGGTAATATTGATAACTAATATGTACTGTGCAGACATAACTTGCAACAGCTCCTTCAGTGGTAATGTTGTTCACTAACACGTACTGTGCATATAGAACTTGCCAAACAAATGTTATAAATAACTATGGTTGTCTGAGCCATCTGATGTAACATTATTGGTTCCCAAAGAATATCTAGATTATTTCGAAAAAATGAACTACTGTACAAAACTACCTTTTCTGTATTCCGATCAATAGTACTTCTCAGAGCAACTGTAGGCAGAAAAACAGGTGAACCACCAAAAGACTGATGCCACTGCACTTTGCGATTAAGATGAATCTGATGCTCATAGGTTCCAGCTCTAAAAAAAGAATCGTTATACAAAGTCCGACACTTAAGTGATGAGACTAACTCCATAAAATATAAAATAATCAACAGCTGAAAAAATAACCTATATTTTATTCCAAGTAAGCCCCTTGTGCATTGATACAGTGAGTAGCACGATCTAACAAACACTTGAACGACTTCTGTTGCTATAGCCCTTAAAGTCGATGTTACGCCCTTTGGATGTCATCAATATTGTCAAAGAAGCGTTCTTTCAATGGTAACTTTAATTTTGGAAATATAAAATTATCACAGGGAGAAAAATCTGGGGAACAGGCTGGATGGTTGAGAACACGCACTTGTTTTGGGGCCAAAAACCCCTGTTTTGATGATGTCTTGCGGGTACCCAACGCGCTGATGTTTTTGGTCAATGAATGCAGTACAAACCTGCACGCAACTTTTTTTTGCCAAAAATCTTGCATTAAATTTTACGAATGGTCTCTCTATTAACACCAGATTCATCTGGCATCATCCTGACAATAAAACACTGATCTTCTTGTATCCATTCTGTGACTTTTGCAATGAGTTCATCATCTAAAACAGAAATTGAGCGTCTAGGTCTAGTTGCAATAGTAATTATTTCCACACCACTTTTGAATCGTGAATCCACCTGAAAATCTGTGCACCAGATAAACAATTATCCCCATAAACTTGTCGCATAATTTCACTTGTCTCAATGGCGCTTTTTTCTGAGTTTTAAACATAATTTAATGTTAGCTTTTTGCTCCATGCTAATTTCGTAACAATGCATTTCTAACTAGGCCGATAAAATGGTAGCTTGCTTGTCTCCTGCTTATCAGGTGGCGAGGTAAAGTTGTCAGATCATAAGTGAAGGTTGCCTCTTTAGATTCCATGCTTTGCTTCATAGATGGCACTTTTGTCTTGTCCGTAATAAAATCAGTCTCATTACCTAATTGTCTGACCCTGTATTGCAACATTCAGTTACCCTATAAATAACATTGTTATTCTTTTCATGAAATTATGAGAAAAAAGACCATCTATATTTTAGTTACTTCTCATTTGAAACGAAAAAAATAAGCATAAAAGATACTTTTTTTTTTTTAAATAATACACACATTCTTCTTTAACTGATTTGATCTGGATTAAATATATTTGTTCACACATTCTTCTTTAACTCTTTGAGTCCCAAGAAACGCATCATACGTTCATAGGTTACTACCTAGAAGCCCAATGAACGCACGATGCGCCACTTTTACGTCTTTTGTGACTACCCGTTGGGCCTGTGATGCTAAACGCTCTGGGACTCAAAGAGTTGACTGATTTGATCTGGATTAAATATATTTATTCACACAAATCATGTGCATCCAGATACAAGCTTTTAACTAACACCTAACCAGCCCCAGTATACCACTAGCTGTTGGTACATGAGGCCAGTTGCTTTAGTAATACTTGGACATGTGACTTATGGTGTCACACTTACCAATGTCAGCTGATGCAGATGCATCATCGTCCAGTGTCATCAACCCAGGGTATATACTCTACACACCAATGCCAACCAAAAGTTGAAAGAGATAGTGGAATGCTATTCCCTGAAGTGTTTTTTTTTTTTAAAGAATCTAAAAGTAAAGGTAAATCTATCCCTATATAAAATGAAAAGTAAATCTACTATTAGATACATGGTATCCAGTAGCAATTTATTCAGTCAACTACAGCCTACCCAGATGTTCAACACTACATGTGGTGCATTCTTTTATATGAACTGAGGAGGGAAGCAAGTCCATCACTGCGGATAAGTATTTGGTGTGGTAACTTGAAGGTGCAGCCACCTAGACACTTACTACCATTAACCTTTTACTAAATCAGTAGCAGTGATACGGACAACCAAAGCTGTTGGCAGATCAGAAGTCATTCTTGACTAAGGAAGTTCTTTGTTTGATGTTGTCTTGTTCTTTAGATCATTCTTCAATATAACTGATTTGAGACTATTTACTAATGTTGCAATTATTACATCACCCATTGTTATTCTGAATTTAATTTTTGTTGGTGTCCAGTATTTCACAGCTCTCTTTACCTAGTTCTGTGTGAGTGTATTTTTCCATTTTTTTTTCCAGATTGCTATTATTACTGTGTGTTTATTTTGACAGTGATAGTGATCATTTCTAGTCTGGGTGCAAACAAGTGGTGAGGAAGTCTGGGAGCTAACAAGTAGGGAGGATGTCTGGGAGCTAACAGGTGGTGAGGAAGTCTGGGGGCTAACAAGTAGTGAGGAGAAAGTCTGGGAGCTAACAAGTAGTGAGGAGGAAGTCTGGGAGCTAACAAGTAGTGAGGAGGAAGTCTGGGGGCTAACAAGTAGTGTCGAGAAAGTATGGGAGCTAACAAGTAGTGAGGAGGCAGTCTGGGGGCTAACAAGTAGTGAGGAGAAAGTCTGGGGGCTAACAAGTGGTGAGGAGGAAGTCTGGGAGCTAACAAGTGGTGAGGAGGTCTGGGAGCTAACAAGTGGTAAGGAAGTCTGGGAGCTAACAAGTGGTGAGGAAGTCTGGGAGCTAACAAGTGGTAAGGAAGTCTGGGAGCTAACAAGTGGTGAGGAAGTCTGGGAGCTAACAAGTGGTGAGGAAGTCTGGGAGCTAACAAGTGGTGAGGAAGTCTGGGAGCTAACAGTGGTGAGGAAGTCTGGGAGCTAACAAGTGGTGAGGAAGTCTGGGAGCTAACAAGTGGTGAGGAAGTCTAGGAGCTAACAAGTGTTGAGGAAGACTGGGGGCTAACAAGTGGTGAGGAAGTCTGGGAGCTAATAAGTGGTGAGGAAGTCTGGGAGCTAACAAGTAGTGAGGAAGTCTGGGAGCTAACAAGTAGTGAGGAAGTCTGGGGGCCAGCAAGTGGTGAGGAAGTCTGGGAGCTAACAAGTGGTGAGGAGGAAGTCTGGGAGCTAACAAGTGGTGAGGAGGAAGTCTGGGGGCTAACAAGTAGTAAGGAGGAAGTCTGGGGGCTAACAAAGTGGTGAGGAAGTCTGGGAGCTAACAGTGGTGAGGAAGTCTGTGAGCTAATAAGTGGTGAGGAAGTCTGGGAGCTAACAAGTAGTGAGGAAGTCTGGGAGCTAACAAGTGGTGTGAAATTCTGGGAGCTAACAAGTAGTGAGGAAGTCTAAGGGCCAACAAGTAGTGAGGAAGTCTGGGAGCTAACAAGTGGTGAGGAAGTCTGGGAGCTCACAAGTGGTGAGGAAGTCTGGAAGCTAACAAGTAGTGAGGAAGTCTGGGGCTAACAAGTAGTGAGGAGGAAGTCTGGGGGCTAACAAGTAGTATGGAGGAAGTCTGGGTGCTAACAAGTAGTTGGGAGGAAGTCTGGGGGCTAACAAGTAGTGAGGAGGAAGTCTGGGAGCTAACAAGTAGTGAGGAGGAAGTCTGGGGGCTAACAAGTAGTGAGGAGAAAGTCTGGGGGCTAACAAGTAGTGAGGAGGCAGTCTGGGGGCTAACAAGTAGTGAGGAGAAAGTCTGGGGGCTAACAAGTGGTGAGGAGGAAGTCTGGGAGCTAACAAGTGGTGAGGAGGTCTGGGAGCTAACAAGTGGTAAGGAAGTCTGGGAGCTAACAAGTGGTGAGGAAGTCTGGGAGCTAACAAGTGGTAAGGAAGTCTGGGAGCTAACAAGTGGTAAGGAAGTCTGGGAGCTAACAAGTGGTGAGGAAGTCTGGGAGCTAACAAGTGGTGAGGAAGTCTGGGAGCTAACAAGTGGTGAGGAGGAAGTCTGGGAGCTAACAGTGGTGAGGAAGTCTGGGAGCTAACAAGTGGTGAGGAAGTCTGGGAGCTAACAAGTGGTGAGGAAGTCTAGGAGCTAACAAGTGTTGAGGAAGACTGGGGGCTAACAAATGGTGAGGAAGTCTGAGAGCTAATAAGTGGTGAGGAAGTCTGGGAGCTAACAAGTAGTGAGGAAGTCTGGGAGATAACAAGTGGTGTGAAAGTCTGGGAGCTAACAAGTAGTGAGGAAGTCTGATGGCCAACAAGTGGTCAGGAAGTCTGGGAGCTAACAAGTGGTGAGGAAGTCTGGGAGCTCACAAGTGGTGAGGAAGTCTGGAAGCTAACAAGCAGTGAGGAAGTCTGGGGGCTAACAAGTAGTGAGGAGGAAGTCTGGGGGCTAACAAGTAGTGTGGAGGAAGTCTGGGTGCTAACAAGTAGTGGGTAGGAAGTCTGGGGGCTAACAGGTAGTGGGGAAGAAGTCTGGGGGCTAACAAGTGGTGAGGAGGAAGTCTGGGGGCTAACAAGTGGTGAGGAGGAAGTCTGGGTACTAACAAGTGGTGAGGAGGAAGTCTGGGGATTAACAAGTGGTGAGGAAGTCTGGGGGCTAACAAGTGGTGAGGAAGTCTGGGGGCTAACAAGTGGTGAGAAAGTCTGGGAGCTAACAAGTGGTGAGGAAGTCTGGGAGCTAACAAGTGGTGAGGAGGAAGTCTGGGGGCTAACAAGTAGTGAGGAGGAAGTGTGGGGGCTAACAAGTGGTGAGGAAGTCTGGGGGCTAACAAGTGGTGAGGAAGTCTGGGAGCTAACAAGTGGTGAGGAAGTCTGGGAGCTAACAAGTGGTGAGGAAGTCTGGGGGCCAACAAGTGGTGAGGAAGTCTGGGAGCTAACAAGTGGTGAGGAAGTCTGGGAGCTCACAAGTGGTGAGGAAGTCTGGAAGCTAACAAGTAGTGAGGAAGTCTGGGGGCTAACAAGTAGTGAGGAGGAAGTCTGGGGGCTAACAAGTAGTGTGGAGGAAGTCTGGGTGCTAACAAGTAGTGTGGAGGAAGTCTGGGTGCTAACAAGTAGTGGGGAGGAAGTCTTGGGGCTAACAGGTAGTGGGGAGGAAGTCTGGGGGCTAACAAGTGGTGAGGAGGAAGTCTGGGGGCTAACAAGTGGTGAGGAGGAAGTCTGGGTACTAACAAGTGGTGAGGAGGAAGTCTGGGGATTAACAAGTGGTGAGGAAGTCTGGGGGCTAACAAGTGGTGAGGAAGTCTGGGGGCTAACAAGTGGTGAGAAAGTCTGGGAGCTAACAAGTG